TACATCTACAATACATAACATTGAAAAAGCATCGAATGAATTTTTCCCTAGTCTATTGAGCTCTCCAACGTTAATTTCAAACTTAGAAATGAATTACCAACAGATTCGATATTGGCGTGCGCTGACAAGTGTTGAAACTTTTATCAATAGCGTACGTATACACACAAATTTTCCTTACTTTTTCGTTTCTATTTAACATCCTTAACCCTCTCACGTGAGACAACTACAAAGGATAAAACAGAATTTAATAGCACGAAAGAAACAAAAAAAATATGCAAAACTATCCACTAAATTTACAGAAAGAAGGGAAGAAAAAACAAACCACTAACACGAAAATCACACCGCTTCTCATACTTCATTCCTCAAACCAGCGCAAACATTCTCCAATAATTCCACCTTCCTCTGCATTCATTACAACGCGCCGTCATAATTCCCAGCCCAGACGCCAAGAGGCCAGAACAAACGGCTAAAACTCCAGTCGATAAATCCATCCCGCGAAAACGAGCGTCATGAGTGTCCCGCGAAGGTACACGCGGAACGAGCGAGTGAAAATATCCGGGAGCTCATTTAGCCCCTCCGGATTGTTCCAACGTTGACAGGGAACGCTGGCACCGACTCATTTGGATCTCATCCCTCAGACACCCCCAGGGTATAATCCGTTTGAATTACACCCGTCAACATCGCGCCCCTATCCTCTCCCCCTCCTCTCCGCCCTTCTGCCACGACACACTTTTACGAGCCACCCCTGCGTGTCCAGAGATCGAGCACCTGTTAAAGGTTGGCCCGCGTCGCGTCGCGGTCGACGCTTTGGAATCCCTCTCGAAAATTCTTCCTGGCCCGGCGACATTTTCCTGTATCGTCACGTGGCGGTAATTCGGTGGAAGTTTGTTGGTTGATTTATCTTGTGGGTCACGTTGATTAAAACGGTGTGTAATGTTCATTGTTCGATACCTTTTGGAGAATTGTTCGGAAGAGTTTGTTTTTCTTTTTGTGGGATATTCGATAGCGGTGACAGATGACCTTGGGTTTTTAGGAGTTTTTTTTGGTGGAAAATGAAGAAGTTGCGGAGGATA